AACGGGAAAAGCTAGAATGCTGAAATTTTACGGGAATGTTCCCTACTCATGTACGAGCAGAATTAGGTGTTTAGGGACGCTTGAGACCCAAGTACGCTATATGTGAAATTTTTGATGCGAAAATTACTAACCTGGGAACGGGAGAAGCTGGAGAGCTGAAACTTTAAGGTAATGTTTCCTACTCATGTACAACCAAAATCAGGTGTTTAGAAATGCCCGGGCCCAGACACGAGCGCGTGGAAATTTTGGCGCGAAAATTACTAGCCCGAGAACGGGAAAAGTTAGAGAGCTGAAACTTTCGGGGAATATTTCCTACGCATGTACAACCAAAATCAGGTGTTTAGAAGCACCTGGGGCCCACGTATGGGCGCGTGGAATTTTTGGCGCGAGAATCACTAACCTGAGAACGAAAAAAGCTAGAAAGCTGAAACTTTAGGTAGTGTTCCCTACTGATGTATGACCAAAAGATTTCAAATTCAGCTCCTTAAAACCGTCCGGTACTCACGTACGGACACGCGAAAATTTTGATGGGGAAACCGCTAACTCGGGAACGGGAAAGGCTGAAGGCTTTAATTTTAAGGGAATGTTCCCTATTCATATGCGACTAAAACGTTTCAATTTTAACTTTTCTAGTGCGGCCTTTTTCGCGAACCAGCAACTTTCCATTTGTCGGGTCACTGAAGTCGACATCTACAACTGACATGCCACATAGCTGCGCAGTTAGCTCCCCGAACTTCGAGGGCCAGTATGTGACAGGGTTAGCTACTATGATTCCTTGCGATCTTGCTACGGCACGAAAAGTGCAAAAACGCATAATCGCACCGGCCGGCCTGGTGCGTCCCAGTCTGAGCTGCTGACTGTTGCGGCGCTAATAAAAACGCATAAAACCAGGTGGGAAGGGGGATGAGCGGGGAGTGACGAGAAGAGCGAGACTTGTGTTGCTCGGGGCCGCTGCGGAGACCTGCAGTGGACCGCTGTGGCCCATCCGGCCTCCAACAGCTGCGACAGTCGCGCAGTTGCGTAGCTGTACAGTTGCCGTGGGGGTGGTGACGCAGTCACTCATTTCAGGTGGCCATGACGATATTGGGCTGCTACGTTGCCGCACGTCACGCAGCGACGTGGCGTGCATGTGATTGGCGCATTTGCCGGGCCTGGCGCTCCAAGGCGGGCATGCCTGTGAGCGGTGGGCTTTGTCCGGGATGTGGTTTGCTCGCCCTCGCTCGCATTTTCTTCCGATCAGTACTTTGGCAATGTTGTGCGTAATTTGCGTCGGCCGCGGCATTCCCGATGATCGGAGAGCCCCGTTTTGGCTGAGTTTCGACCCGCTCAACGCGTTTGGTGAACTTTTGCATTCGTTTGCAAACATTCACCCGTGTGACT